TATCTGATCATAATGGAATGAAACTGGAAATCAATGATAAAAGAAGGAAGGAAAAATCCTACATCACATGGAAAATGAACAATATGTTACTGAATGATCAATGGGTTACAGAAGACATAAAGGAGGAAATCAAAAAATTCTTAGAGATAAACGAAAATACAGACACAACATATCGGAATCTATGGGACACAATGAAAGCAGTTTTAAGAGGGAAATTCATCGCCTGGAGGTCTTTCCTCAAACAAAGGAAAAACCAACAAATAAATGAGCTCACACTTCATCTCAAAGCCCTAGAAAAGGAAGAGCAAAACAACAGCAAATGTAGCAGAAGGCAAGAAATAATTAAAATCAGAGCGGAAATCAACGAAATTGAAACAAAAGAAACTATTGAAAAAATTAACAAAACTAAATGTTGGTTCTTCGAAAAAATAAATAAGATCGACAGACCCTTATGCATGCTAACGAAGAGAAGAAGAGAGAGAACTCAAATTACTAACATATGGGATGAAAAAGGAAATATCACAACAGATGCTACAGAAATACAGAAGACAATTAGAAATTATTTTGAAAACCTATATTCCAATAAAATAGAAGATAGTGAAGACATCAATAAATTCCTTAAGTCATATGATTTGCCCAGACTGAGTCAGGAGGATACTCACAACTTAAACAGACCAATATCAATAGATGAAATAGAAGAAGCAATCAAAAGACTTCCAACCAAGAAAAGCCCAGGACTGGATGGGTATACAGCAGAGTTTTACAAAACCTTTAAGGAAGAATTAATACCAATACTTTTCAAGCTATTTCAGGAAATAGAAAAAGAGGGAGCTCTGCCAAATTCATTCTATGAGGCCAACATCACCTTGATTCCGAAACCAGACAAAGACACCTCAAAGAAAGACAACTACAGACCAATATCTCTGATGAACCTAGATGCAAAAATCCTCAATAAAATTCTGGCGAATTGGATACAAAGGCACATCAAAAAAAATGTGCACCATGATCAAGTAGGATTCATCCCTGGGATGCAAGGATGGTTCAATATACGGAAATCAATAAATGTTATTCACCACATCAATAGACTTAAAGATAAGAACCATATGATCATCTCAATAGACGCAGAAAAAGCATTCAACAAAGTACAGCATCCCTTTATGTTCAAAACATTAGAAAAACTAGGAATAACAGGAACTTACCTCAACATAGTAAAAGCTATCTATGCTAAGCCTCAGGCTAGCATCATTCTCAATGGAGAAAAACTGAAGGCATTCCCCCTAAAATCTGGAACAAGACAGGGATGCCCTCTATCACCACTTCTATTCAATATAGTTCTCAAAACACTGGCCAGAGCAATTAGACAGACGAAAGAAATTAAAGGCATAAAAATAGGAAAGGAAGAACTTAAATTATCACTATTTGCAGATGAAATGATTCTATACCTAGAAGACCCAAAAGGGTCTACAAAAAAACTACTAGAACTAATAAATGAATTCAGAAAAGTGGCAGGATATAAAATCAACACGCATAAATCAAAGGCATTTCTCTATATCAGCGACAAAACTTCTGAAACGGAAATGAGGAAAAACACTCCATTCACAATATCCTCAAAAAAAATAAAATACTTGGGAATCAACCTAACAAAAGAGGTGAAGGACTTATACAATGAAAACTACAAAACCCTAAAAAGAGAAGTAGAAGAAGATCTTAGAAGATGGAAAAATATACCCTGTTCATGGATAAGCAGAACTAACATCATCAAAATGGCGATATTACCAAAAGTTCTCTATAGGTTTAATGCAATGCCAATCAAAATCCCAATGGCATTTCTTGTAGAAATAGAGAAAGCAATCATGAAATTCATATGGAAAAATGAAAGACCAAGAATAGCAAAAGCAATTCTAAGCAGGAAGTGTGAATCAGGTGGTATAGCGATACTGGATTTAAAACTATATTACAGAGCAATAGTAAAAAAAACAGCATGGTACTGGTACCAAAACAGGTGGGTGGACCAATGGCACAGAATAGAGGACACAGAGACTAATCCACAAAGCTGCAGCTATCTTATATTTGATAAAGGAGCTAAAAGCATGCAATGGAGGAAGGATAGCATCTTCAACAAATGGTGTTGGGAAAACTGGAAATCCATATGCAACAAAATGAAACTGAATCCCCTCCTCTCACCATGCACAAAAGTTAACTCAAAGTGGATCAAGGAGCTAGATATCAAATCAGAGACTCTATGTCTGGTAGAAGAAAAAGTTGGCTCCGATCTACATATTGTGGGGTCGGGCTCCAAATTCCTTAATAGGACACCCATAGCACAAAAGTTAATAACAAGAATCAACAAATGGGACCTACTTAAACTGAAAAGTTTTTTCTCAGCAAGAGAAACAATAAGAGAGGTAAATAGGGAGCCTACATCATGGGAACAAATTTTTACTCCTCACACTTCAGATAGAGCCCTAATATCCAGAGTATACAAAGAACTCAAAAAATTAAACAATAAGAAAACAAATAACCCAATCAACAAATGGGCCAAGGTCCTGAACAGACTTCTCAGAGGAGGACATACAATCAATCAACAAGTACATGAAAAAATGCTCACCATCTCTAGCAGTCAGAGAAATGCAAATCAAAACCACCCTAAGATACCATCTCACTCCAGTAAGATTGGCAGCCATTATGAAGTCAAACAACAACAAGTGCTGGAGAGGATGTGGGGAAAAGGGTACTCTTGTACATTGCTGGTGGGACTGCAAACTGGTGCAGCCAATTTGGAAAGCAGTATGGAGATTCCTGGGAAATCTGGGAATGGAACCACCATTTGACCCAGCTATTGCCCTTCTTAGACAATTCCCTGAAGACCTTAAAAGAGCGTACTACAGGGATACTGCTACATCGATGTTCATAGCAGCACAATTCACAATCGCTAGACTGTGGAACTAACCCAGATGCCCTTCAATAGATGAATGGATAAAAAAAAAAAATGTGGCATTTATACACAACAGAGTATTATACAGCACTAAAAAATGACAAAATCATGGAATTTGCAGGGAAATGGATGGCACTTGAGCAGATTATGCTTAGTGAAGCTAGCCAATCCCTACAAAACAAATACCAAATGTCTTCTTTGATATAATGAGAGCAACTAAGAACAAAGCAGGGAGGAAGAGCAGGAAGAAAAGATTAACATTAAACAGATACATGAGGTGGGAGGGAAAGGGAGAGAAAAGGGAAATTGCATGGTAATGGAGGGAGATCCTCATTGTTATACAAAATTACATATAAGAGGTTGTGAGGGGAATGGGAAAATAAACAAGGAGAGAAATGAATTACAGTAGATGGGGTAAAGAGAGAAGATGGGAGGGGAGGGGAGGGGAGATAGTAGAGGATAGGAAAGGTTGCAGAATACAACAGTTACTAATAGGGCATTATGTAAAAATGTAGATGTGTAACCGACATGATTCTGCAATCTGTATTTGGGGTAAAATTGGGAGTTCAAAACCCACCTGAATCAAATGTATGAAATATGATATGTCAAGAGCTTTGTAATGTTTTGAACAACCAATAAAAAAAGAAAAAGAAAAAAAAAATTAATAGTCACTGTGAAAGTAGTTTCCAAAGTCTATTCTTAAGTAGATTTAGTAAAAAGTGGTTACAATATACTGAAGGAAAGACATAAAGCTGTAGCTACTGAATAACCCATGTGGGACAATGTTTGTATAGGAATGTTTGTGTAGGAATACATTTTACTGAAGATGCATGTGTGTGTAGAAAAACAACTAAGAATAAATATTTCTAAATTAAAAAAAAAACATGATAGTTGTATTCAAATACTTGAAATATTATCATAAGAAAGGAGGTTTTGATTTGTTTTATTCATGTAATCTCAAGGAATGTATCTAATACTAGTGATTTATTTAAAACATTTTCATTAAATAAACACATTGAAATTTTTTCATGAACTAAATAAACTGGATCAAAATTCAGTAAATTAAAAGCATAGGTTTTAATAAAAAATCTTATAGGGAGAAACTCAAATACCAAATAAGATACTAAATTGATAAATAGGACAATATTCATCCTAAGGTTTCAAAATTTTTGTCATTAAATGTCAAAGGACTGAGTTGAGTTTTTTGCTTCAAGTCTTTGATTTAGCAGTTGAGGAAGTATAGAATGGGAAACTATAAGATAAGAAAGTATATGAGGGCAAAAATAATTCCAAAAGAACTCAGTTCTGTTCTTTCTGTTGAAAAGGTTAAGAATGTAAGAATTAAGTTCTGTTTTCCTGGAACCTGAAACTCATGTAGAAGTTGAAAACAACTCCCGGAAATGCCCACTGATCATCTGGTTGCTCTACGAAAACAACCCCTCCCAGAAACCATGCAATGATTGGTTATGCTGTATGTGAAGTCCCTGCCCTCTCCAAGGAAAGTATATAAGCTCTGCTTAAGCTGTTCCCAGGGCTCTCTCTCTCTGCTCTATTCAAGTGAGCTCTGAGCCCCAGCATGCTGGACCCCCAATAAACCCTTTGCTGTTGCATGAGACAGTCTCTTGGTGGTCTCTTCCTCCGACGCTCGCCGGACCTTTACATCTGGAGGTTCCACTGAGATCCGGCAGCGGCGGACGAAAGACCCCAACAGGCTCCTCTCGGGGTAAATAAGGCGCCTCTTTCCAGTTTCAGGTTTCAGGTTAGGGCTTGGCAAAGTGGCTGTCAGTGAAGAGCGTGAGCTCTCTCCGTCGGTGGCTGACAGATGTGTCACAGAGCCACAGGCCACGTCCCTGGGGGACGCCCCAGAGGACTCGGGAAATCAAGGAACAATAGTCTCCTCGACTCGGTGATATTTTGTTTTGGATTTGGTATTGCCAGCCCATCGGGTTTTGCCGGCTACTCAGTCCTGGTCTCAGTGTTCGACGTTCATTGTCTGTTTTTATTGTCTTGTCTTGTCTTGTCTGTGTCGTGTGTCGTTGCTTTCACTGTTTGTGTATCTTTCATTATGGGACAGAGCACTTCAACGCCTCTATCCTTGACCCTTGATCACTGGACCAAAGTCGACTTAAGGGCTCAGAATCTTTCTTTTTCAGTAAAACGCCAGACCTGGCAGACTCTCTATGCCTCAGAATGGCCCACCTTTGGAGTCGAATGGCCCCCAGAAGGATTTTTCTACTTCCCACTAATTCGAAAAGTCAGAGATATTGTCTTTCAGCCGGGGCCACATAGCCATCTAGATCAACAGCTGTATATCTTAACTTGGCAGGACCCCTGCAAATCTCCTCCTCCATGGGTAAAGCCTTTCCTTGTCCCTGCCCCGACTCCTACTCCTTCCCCCACGATTCTATCTCTCAAACCCTCTGCTCCTCCTCCTCCTCCACCCTCTGTTCTCCCTGAGTCTCAAAATTTGACTCTACTGGACTCTCCTCCCCCTCCTTATCCCCTGCCCTCGTCCCCCAACCCCCAACGCCCTCTAAGTGACTCCCCTGCTGCTGACTCAGCCCTTCCTCCCCTGGAGAAAGCTAGGCCGGCCCAGTGCCCTCCAGATGACTCCCCCGCGGCACACACAGCCCCTCCTCCCCTGGAGAAAGCTGGCCCAGCTAAAGGAACTCGCCGGCAGCGAATGATTGAAAACCCTGGAGCCCCCGTGATGCTCCCCCTCCGTCCCTATGGGCCAATGATTGACGACGACGGCCATGGGGGAAAAATGCAAGCCTACCAGTATTGGCCTTTCTCCTCTTCAGACCTATATAACTGGAAAAATAACAATCCCCCTTTTTCCGAGGACCCCACCCAGCTCACAAGTCTGGTTGAATCATTGATGTTTTCACACCAGCCTACTTGGGATGACTGCCAACAACTCCTAGGGACTCTCTTCATGACAGAGGAACAAGAGAGAATCCTCCTGGAAGCTAGAAAAAAATATCCTCAGACCAGATGGGCAACCGACACAACTTCCCAACATAATCGAAGCCGGCTTCCCCTTGAAGCGACCCAACTGGGACCCCAACACCTTTGAAGGTAGGGAGCATCTGTCCACTTATCGCTGGGCTCTAATAGTGGGTCTCCGAGCGGCCGCTAGGTGACCAACTAATTTAGCCAAGGTAAGAGAGATTATTCAAGGGCCTGATGAATCTCCCTCTATGTTTCTAGAGAGAATTATGGAGGCATATAGGAGATATACTCCTTTCAATCCTCAGGCAGAGGATCAAAAGGCATCTGTCATGATGGCCTTTATTGGGCAAGCTGCCCTGGATATTAAAAGAAAGTTACAACACTTAGATGGATTACAAGATATGACTTTGAGAGATTTAGTCAGAGATGCCGAGAAGGTATACTATAAGGGAGGATGAGAGAAGCAAAAGACAGACTAAGGCATTGACTAAGGTCCTGGTCATAACAACAAATAGGCCAGAATTTAAGAAACAGGGAGACAGGAAGGGATACCTGGGCCCACACCAGAGGCCACCCCTGGCCTCAGGTCAATATGCCTACTGTAAAGAAAAAGGACACTGGGCCAAAGAGTGCCCTAGAAAGAGACAGCCATGCCAGCCAGCCATTCTGACTCTGGAGGATGACTAGGAAAGTCGGGGCTCGGATCCCCTCCCTGAGCTCAGGGTAACTTTTGAAGTGGAGGGGACCCCAGTAAACTTTGAAGTGGATACAGGGGCAATATACTCAGCCCTTAAGGTCCCATTGGGCCCTCTATCAAATAAAAGGTCTCTAGTTCAAGGGGCTAACGGCAGTAAATATCGGGCTTGGACAACTAAGAGGACCATGGACCTGGGGAAAGGAAAAGTCTATCACTCCTTCCTAGTAATCCCAGAATGCCTGGCTCCATTGATGGGCAGAGATCTGCTCACCAAGCTCCAGGCCAAAATAGCTTTTAACCCTGAAGGCCCCCAAGTGGAATTTCTAAATCCTTCAGTAAAAACTCCTATAGTCACGGCTTTAACTATGTCAGTAGAAGATGAACATCAACTCTTCACACCCCCCCCCAAGACTGATCAAACAGGCAAGCTACCCCAGAAATGGATAACAGATTACCCAGATGCCTGGGCAGAAACTGCTGGGTTAGGCCTAGCCGTGAAACAACCTCCAATAACAGTGGAGTTAAAAACCTCAGCCTCCCCAATCAATGTCAAACAATATCCTCTGAGCAAAGAAGCTAAAGATGGGATAAGGCCCCACATTCAGAAATATCTGGCCTTAGGGGTCCTAAGGCCCTGTCAATCGGCCTGGAACACTTCCCTGCTACCAGTAAAAAAGCCAGGAACCGGGGACTATCACACCGTTCAAGACCTAAGAGAGATCAACAACAGAGTGCAGGACATTCACCCCACAGTACCTAATCTGTACAATCTGCTTAGCACTCTGAACCCTGAGCAGAAATGGTATAATGTTCTGGACTTAAAAGATGCTTTCTTTTGCTTGCCTCTGCATAAAGATAGTCAGTTGCTGTTTGCTTTCGAGTGGGTAAACCCAGAAACCAGAACGTCTGGTCAACTAACTTGGACTAGACTCCCACGGGGGTTCAAAAACTCCCCCACTCTCTTTGATGAAGCCCTCCACAGAGATCTCAACAACTTCAGAACTACGCACCCCGAAGTCACCCTGCTTCAATATGTGGATGAACTGCTACTGGCAGCCGACACCAAGGAAAACTGTGAGTCTGGGACCCAAGCACTATTATCCGAGCTTGCTCAACTCGGGTATAGAGCTTCTGCCAAAAAGGCCCAAATTTGCCAACAAGAAGTAATCTTCCTGGGCTATTCCCTTAGGGGCAGTAAACGATGGCTCACTGAGCCCAGAAAACAAACCGTTGTGCAGATACCACCCCCATCTAACAGGAGGCAACTCAGAGAGTTTCTTGGGACTGCTGGCTTTTGCAGGTTATGGATACTTGGGTTTGCATCCTTAGCTGCTCCTTTATACCCGCTGTTAAAGGGGGGTGCCCAATTCCAATGGACCCCTGAGCACCAGCAAGCTTTTGATAACATCAAAAGGGCGCTGCTATCTGCTCCGGCCTTAGACTCCCGGATGTAGAAAAACCCTTTACTCTCTACATTGAGGAAAAGAAAGGAATAGCATGAGGAGTGCTCACTCAGACTCTAGGGCCCTGGAAAAGGCCTGTAGCCTACTTGTCTAAAAAGCTGGACTCAGTGGCTACTGGATGGCCCCATTGCCTAAAAGCTATAGCAGCCGCGGCCTTTCTAATCAAGGATACTGATAAGTTAACGCTGGGGCAGAAGCTAACCATTATAGCCCCCCATACCCTAGAGAACATCATCTGCCAGCCACCAAATAGATGGCTATCAAACTCTAGAATAACACACTATCAGAGCCTGTTGCTCAACAAAGACAGAATAACGCTGGGACCCCCCGCCCCGCTTAACCCGGCTACACTACTACCTGAACAATCATCAGGACCCATCACTCATGACTGTCAACATATACTGGCAGAAGAAACCAGTATACGACGGGATTTAAAGGATCAGCCACTGCTCCACCCTGAGGTCATATGGTTCACTGATGGCAGCAGCTTCCTCCAGGATGGTAAGCGGCGGGCTGGGGCAGCAATAGTTAGCAGAACTAAAGTCATCTGGTCCTCTAGCCTCCCGGAGGGAACATCGGCTCGAAAGGCAGAGCTGATTGCCCTCACGAAGGCATTGGAGCTAGCGGCAGGCAAAAAGGCCACCATATACACAGATAGCCACTATGCCTTCGCTACCGCTCATATACACGGGGCTATCTACCAGCAAAGGGGACTATTAACCTCCGCGGGAAAAGAAATAAAAAAAAGAGATGAGATCCTCCGCCTCCTCTCAGCAGTGCAAAGCCCTAGGGAACTAGCTATAGTGCACTGTCCAGGACACCAGAAAGGAAATGATTCCATAGCAGTCGGGAACAGGAGGGCAGATGAAGAGGCTAAATTGGCAGCCCTAAACTGAGTAACCATGTTAACACTTTCCACACTGGGGGGACATAAGTCAGGAGATTTAACTACATCGGAGCACCCTGACAACTTAACATCTAAGGACACTGAACTCCTCGACTTCACTGAGCCCAGCCTGCAATTTCAGAAAGCCCTACACTACGTTAAAAATGTACATCAACTCACTCACCTTGGTTCAAAGAAACTGCAGGCATTCCTGAAGGATCAAGAACAGAGTTTTCCACTAACCGACTCACAGCGAAAGGAAATAGCTGAACAGGTAACAAAAGCTTGTCGGGTCTGTCAATTGGTTAATGCTTACCCTTCCAAGCTTCCTGCAGGAAAGCGCCTACGAGGAACCAGACCAGGACAATTCTGGGAAATGGACTTTACTGAAATTAAGCCAGCAAGGTATGGACTCAAATATCTCCTACTCTTTGTAGATACATTTTCAGGATGGATTGAAGCCTTCCCCACAAAAAAGAAACAGCGCAAATGGTGGTCAAGAAGATCCTGGAAGATATTTTTCCAAGATACGGCCTGCCTAAGGTAATAGGGTCTGATAATAGACAGGCATTCATGGCCCAGGTAAGTCAGGGGTTAGCCAGGACCCTGGGGATTAATTGGAAGTTACATTGTGCTTATAGACCCCACAGCTCAGGACAGGCAGAAAGAATGAATAGAACCATTAAAGAGACCTTAACAAAATTAAGCTTAGAGACCGGCATAAAAGATTGGACTATGCTCCTGCCTAATGCACTGTTTTGTGCAAGAAATACTCCCTCTGTTTCTTTGTGTAACTTCACCCCCTATGAAATTCTCTATGGTGTCCCTCCTCCAGTAAGGGACCTAACCCCAACTCTAAGACCTAACGATTCCTTTCACATCCCCTTGCTTGACAGACTTAAAGCTGTTGAAAGAACCCAGCGATACCTGTGGAAACAGCTGGCCACTGCCTACCAACCTGGGGACGAAGGGACTCCACACGGATATCAAGTGGGAGACTTCATCTACGTAACCCTCCCAGAAGTAACCGGGGCAGGCTTATATATAGGGTCCCCACTAAAAGTAAACAACACTTATGTACCCAGATAAAAAAAAATTAGCACCACACAGGGTTTCCTTACCCCTGAAAATGGAACCTGGTGGGCATGTGACTCAGGGTTAACTCCTTGCATTTCATCCCAGGTATTTAACAGCTCTGTAAATTATTGTGTAATGGTGCAGATGTTTCCCAGAGTGCTCTATCATGACGCAGGTTCGTTTGAAGATCAAATAGGGGGCATACAACCCGGTTCCGCCGGGAACCTGTATCCCTCACTTTAGCCATCTTCTTAGGAATAGGAGTTGCTGCAAGGGTGGGCACAAGAACCACTGCCCTGGTCCGTGGGACACAACAAATGACCCAATTAGAAGCAGCAATAGACCAAAACTTAAAGATATTAGAAACCTGCATCACAGCTTTACAGGAATCTTTAACCTCTCTCTCTGAAGTTGTTTTACAGAACAGGCGAGGGTTGAACCTCCTCTTCATGAGAGAAGGGGGCCTTTGTGCTGCATTGAGGGAAAAATGTTGTTTTTATGCCGACCATACTGGAGTTGTAAAAAAAATCTATGAGTAAATTAAAAAGACACCTTAAAGAGCGTCAGCTAGAGAGAGAGGCCCAAAAAGGGTGGTTTGAGTCTTGGTTCACACAGTCCCCCTGGTTAACTACGCTTTTATCAGCTCTGGCCGGTCCATTAATAATCCTCATATTATTGCTAACTGTAGGACCCTGTTTGCTCAACCGTGTAGTTTCCGTTCTCCAAGCTCAAATTGGACAAGTTAAACTTATGGTAATCAGACAACAATATGCCTCACTGGCAGAAATAGAGTATGATACCCCTCAATAATTATGATTTCTTACTTTTAAGATTAAAAGTAGTCAGAAAAAGAAGTGGGGAATGAAAAGGTTAAGAATGTAAGAATTAAGTTCTGTTTTCCTGGAACCTGAAACTCATGTAGAAGTTGAAAACAACTCCCGGAAATGCCCACTGATCATCTGGTTGCTCTACGAAAACAACCCCTCCCAGAAACCATGCAATGATTGGCTATGCTGTATGTGAAGTCCCTGCCCTCTCCAAGGAAAGTATATAAGCTCTGCTTAAGCTGTTCCCAGGGCTCTCTCTCTCTGCTCTATTCAAGTGAGCTCTGAGCCCCAGCATGCTGGACCCCCAATAAACCCTTTGCTGTTGCATGAGACAGTCTCTTGGTGGTCTCTTCCTCCGATGCTCGCCCGACCTTTACACTGTGTCTATTTTTTTCTGCCCATCATTATAATGACTGTAATCATATAAGAAAAACTCTTAAAAGTTTCTTTTTCTTCTTCAAAATAAAAACCATTTGTTTAGAGTTGGAATCATGGATGAAGTTATACTTTTCTACCAGTTGATGCCTAGACAAAGCCAGTTTCAATCACAATACAAACACCTAACTGCCAGAGACAGGACAACACCTGCCCTAGGAAATGAATAGTCAAAGAAGGAGGAATAAGAAAACCAGATTGTGAAGTGCCACAACAGAACAGGCTTATTAGCGTGTACTACAGGAGCCTCAAGAATAATGCTTATCGTATTCTTGTGAGAATCAGTTCATCAGCTTCTAAAATGAAGTAGATCTAAGTTAATCTGAAGAGTAAGACTTATCCAGGTAATTAAGTATGATAAATGGGGCCCAGAAGCAAAGACAACTGTATATACAAAAGCCCAGAAGTGGGAGGGACAGATATAGTCAGAGTTCTGCAAATTTTTTCAGTTTAAGTAAGGTGGAGAATGATGTGAATAAAGCTGAAAAAGTAAACATGAAAGATCTTCAATGACATGCTAAACAGTTTTGTTTCTTGTCTGTAACAAATAGCACAGAAGACAATGTTAATGGAAGAAGAACACCTGGACCAAGGTAGAGGAGGCTGTCTTGATGTTTTGCCATTAGGGACCACATCTTTAGATTGTCACACTTGAGATTATCTGTTGGTATCACTAGTGTCATGAGTACTAAGCCATTACTAATAGTGCTTCATTCAATATAGAATGACCAAGATAGTTGCAAGTAAGGTTATGTGGGAACTGAACTAAGAATATGTCCCTATCGATAAGATATGGTCCAGTCAGGGAGAAACAGGTTAATGAAAGTGAAGTGCCTAAGTCTATTCCAGGTAAAATGATAGCAATATACAACCAGTTCCTGAGATAGAGTTTTGCTCTTGAGTTATGTTCAGGTGACAAAACCATAAGAACTTTCCACATGAAATCGTTTCTGCAAATAGTGGTTCTCCATCTTTCAACCATAGGAGCCAGGAACTCTGACTTTCCTGGCTTAGGGCACTACTTTATTAATAAAGATGGGTAATGAGATAGATGAAGGTATGGAAGACATAGAAGATTGAAGACAGAAGAAGCACTCAAGGAAGTGGCATTTGTGGGTTCCCAGGATACACTTTCTGTGTGATTCTCCAGTGCCTTCCTCTTCCTCTAGTTCTCTATATTTTTCTCCTAACCATCCATATTTTCTCACCCAACCCTACACCAATAACTCAAGAAGCTATCCAGCCTTGTGCTTGTGTGTGTTTTCTAAAAGCGTTCTTATTGCTGTGCTGTCTGCCCTCAGAGAATAAAAGAGGGCCAATTCAATAGTCTAAGTCACACAATGTCCACCCTGTCTTGTTCCAGGGGTTTAGAAGCTACAGAGGAGGTAATGCAAGACATTAGCCATGAAAGGGTGAGTGGAGAACAAAACAAAGCTCTTCCTTTCTTTTCTTTCCTCATCTTTCTCTTTGCCACAAATAGTCTTTTTTCCCAATCTGCTGTCCTAAGCCTTCAACTTGGAGTAAAATTTAAAAATGGGAACTGAATGCCTGTGAAGGATAAAATAAGAATTTGGAACTACATTTCTATAAATAATTAGAGAATAAACACACAACACAGACAACCAAAGAACTAAAAGCAGCCTTAAATATTAAATAGTGTTTACTTTAAATAATTTTTACAATACATTTAATTTCAATGTCACTCTAACATCAAACATGATATAAAATTAAAAATCAAGATAAAATTCTAATTTATGATTTATAAAAATATTTAGATTATATTTTTAGTCAATTTTACTAACTGGAACATAAGCTGTTATTTTTAGCTACAATCTCTTCAATAAAAATATTTTTCATGGGGAAAAGTATCTTCTCATCTAACAAATGCACAATGCATAAAATATTAAAGATCTTAAAATAGCAAAGTGGTATGTTCTCAGAAAGAAGACTTCTTTATGCACATGGTAACTTTTAGCCCAAAACAGATATGTTCTGTCATTTCTGAAATCCAAGCTGGGATTCAGTCTCCTTGACCTTAACCAACCTGTGCAATAAAACAAAAAATTATTTAAGTAATGTTTCCAGTAGCAACAACATTTAATATGCAAGAAATCAAATCCCAGCTCCAATTAATAAAATACAACTTTCATATTGAGCTATTAAACAATTTTTCGAAAACCGCATGAATTCAGTGAGAAAGAAATTCATTTAATCAAAACATCATTAGTGTAAATTGAACTAATTCTAGCCAAGAGAGAATAAAGTCTTTAAAATATAATTTTTAATATGAAACATATTAATAATTAATGTGAAACATTTTGAAAATAAAACATTGATTTAAAAGAAATATATTATTAAAACTGAATATCAGCTGGTAAAATGGTGTTAAGGGAAACAATAAATTCCCACCATTTAGAATCTGGCACAGTAAAGTAAATGTTTAAGAAACACATTGAAATTCCTGAAAATTTGAGGGAGAGCAAAAAAATATATTAATATTATTATCTTTAATTTCTTCCATACAATAGTGAGGTTTTAATTTTCTTTTTTCTAGTAATGTGCCTGTTTAAAGGTTTTTTTCTGGAAAAACAAAATCATTATGACCCAGAAGAACAACCAAGGATTAAACTATTCAGTTTCATGATGCTCTTTGAAGGTGAGTAATAGGCAAGAGCCATTATCCCTGGTCTCTTTGTTGTATTCTTTACTATTATTTTCTCTTGGTAAGTAGCTACTGGTTTTTAAAAGTTTTATCATTTTCTTTGGATTCCCATGACATACATCTTGATTTAAGGCTTCATCAGGTATGCTGCAAGCCCAGCTGCCCAGCCCAGTACTGTGGCCCAAGTTCTTACTTGGATGCCATAATTAGCAGTCCATTTCTATTTCTGAAGATAGAGTACCATGTCCCTCTAGGGTTGGTGGTATTAAATAAGTATGCTTATCACCACAGTAAACAGTGTGCCTGAGACTTGCCTGTATTTTCTGTGGTGTAGTCACATCGATAGCTGAATCTCTTCTCTGGATCAAAGAGATAAACTCTGGCAGTAATAACGAAAGATCCATTAAAAATAAAAGGTACATTAAATACACTGCCTAGAAAGTTTCTGTAAGTGTGAGGGGAACAGAATGATGTCTACTGGTTAGGATTCCACTGTTAGTTACAGTCACTCATTCTTTTTTCAATGCCTAGCACTCACAAATGGAAAGGAAGGGCTGCTTCTCACCCACTAGGAGCTTGTAATATCATTCTGTAAATAATACTCATTCAACAGAGAGTAATTTGTATATGCTGTAAATTCATCAGGTAGATGAGATTAGTTTGGGAAGATTGATTGAAAGCAATAGAGCTCTTCTATAATGCTTGATTTGAGGGGAGCAGCATTAGCTAACATGTATTTAATTCAATGTATTTGCCAAGCACTTTCACATATAATATTTAATTAAAACTTCTCATCTCCCTGGGAATAATTATTTTTAATCCCCTTTTAAGAAGCTAAATGCTGCAGAATGCAAGTAACTTCCCAAAGATTATATAGTGACAAAGCTATGTTATGAATAAACTCTATCTAATAAACTCTAAATTCTACCATCCTTCTGCTATACCAAGACCTCCTTTAGTCTATGCTGGCTTTGAATGTTGAGAGAAAAACATAGTGCATCACAAACAAAATGCAAGTTGAATGCACCAAGCAATTACAATGTAGTATTGCTGCATCTTTGTAACAGAGTTTTCAATTTTTAAAGCAC